GTCACTCAGAGCACAAAGCATAGAATTAGAGTGAATAGATCTGCCCAGTCATGGATCGGTCACATTGTCACCGATACCCGATCCAGAAGTTTTTTCGATATTGGGACCAATACCGATATGGGTATCAGATCGGTGCAGCTCTTGTAACAACAATCACAAATGCGATAACAGAAAACACAAACCTTACATGCTTCAAAATATTCAAACCCACATTTAAGTTGCATCAACTTTGATGTAAATTAAAGATGTGCATGCCTTCTTAGTAGGGGTGCACCGATAAATCGGCTGGCCAATTTATTGGCCCCGATTTTCTTAATTTTGGGAAATCGGAAATCGGCCGATACTTGCATGAGAAACCAATTTTACAGATTTTTTTTTTGTTTTAACAACAATTGTCTGAACTTAATTTATATTTCAGAGCACTACCTCGTGGCCAGTTAAAACAAGTTTGTATTGTTATACAATATTGTTCAAGGGTATGTTTTTCAATAAAATAAGATTAGAACATTGAAGGTGCATTGTGACCTTATAAACACCTGACAGTGTCGCTTATAAAACAAAATTGGTATCGACCAAAATCAGAATCGGCAGATCAGACTTTTTAGAAGATCGGTGATCGGCCAGAAAACTGCAATCGGTGCACTCCTACTTCTTAGTCTACTGTAAATACTACGGTAATCATGAGACTAGAAAAGCATGTCAGGTGCACACAAGTTTTGGCATTTTGATCATTTCAGTTTTGCATGTTTAAAAATCTCCTCTAATCCTAAAGATAAATTTTCTTGGAATATTCAACAGTTAAGTGTGCAAGGCGGCAGGCCCAGGAGTTTCTGTTTCATAGACAGCAGATTAAAATGTTAAGTTCAACAAAGGAACAGGCAAATATTTTACTTTTTTTGTTTAGGAGGCCTGAGAAAAATGATGTGGAGCAGGTATATTTTGTATCCCTTTAGAGAGGATTATTCAGCTTACTTATAAAATCAACTGAATCTGTTACTACTGTTCTGGCACAAACCAGCCCACTCAAACAGCTTCACTAGAGCAAAGACGACTGGTCGTGGCTATAGAGGCTGATGGATTAATTACAGTAATGTGCATCTCCCAAAAACGAAAGACAAAACCCAGGCTTTGCAGTGAAAATGCTCTGCATGATGCTTTTTTAGTTCAACTCGTTTACATCAAAGCAAAGAGCAGTAACAGTCTGCATGTTTTAATCGTCCTTAAACACAGATGCTTTATCACATTGCTTTTACTTTTGGTATTTTGTGTGGCACTGGATCATTGTTTGGCTCTGATTAAATTCAGTACATCATTTTCCATGAGACGCAACACATCCGGGCACTTTGTCACTAACCACCATTTTAGTAGGCACCCAATAGCTCCAGTCGCGGCTGAGCAGGCTTGCCCATCAAAAAGTATGTTTTACGTACATTTAAATGGTTCTTTTTTCATGTTTGGTTAAAGGTTTTTCCAACGAGGCAGATTGTTCAGCAAAGCGCAGTTTTCACTTCATCCCAAAAATCCAGAAATGCGAAGGACCTGAATTGGAAGAGTTGGGTGCAGTACGCCGGCACGCCTGGCTTGGAAACATCAACCACAAGGATCAGCTTTCAAAAAACATCTAGAATCTGCTCCAATCACTTTTACTCTGGTAAACAAAATGTTTTATATAAATCATTTTGTTAAACTACACACGTCAGTATAACTGTGCTGGAACTGCTCTGCTCACGAGTTAGAACATCTCTAATGTAGCTAGCTCAGGTATGCTATGTGCTAAACCTTCACGCTGTAAACACTCGCTCTGCCTCAGACATCTATGTTGTAATGTTGCGCATTAGTTGCATCGGCACGCCTCAAAATTTCATAAAATTATCCTAGTCATCAATGTTGTGTTATTGGCATCATGATGGATTAGTGGTTAGCACAGTCACCTCACAGCAAGAACGTCGTGGGTTCTGGCCCCGACTTGAGCCTGGGGTTAATCTGTGAGGAAGTTGCATGTTAATATTTTTATTTATTCAATTAAATCTTTATTTAACCTGGTAGCTCTCAGTTTGGATGTATTTCACAAAGCCAGTAAAATACTGATTGTATGTCCATGGATTTCAGGCCTGAAGCTCCTCCATTGTGTACACTTCTCTCGTTCATGAAATCATTAACCATGTCATAAGAGATAGGAGGCAACTTGTCTGTGTTGTCTGACATGTTCTTTTTCTACCTCATACGAGTTAATCCTGCGACAGCACTCATTTTTGGGACGCATCTTTCTTTTGCTCATTGGTCAAGAGTATCAATATAATTCTATTGATTTGGTTTGTCTGAAAGCCATTGTGATCGTCGTTGTCTAGTGCTGCTTACCTATTACAATGGCAGAAAAGTGGTGTTGCACACCAGTTGAGACGTGTGGGAACTATTTCTAACAAGACTCGCGTCCAAATTGTGACAACCGATTGTCTGTGTGGGGAGATTCCCAGATGTAGCAACATTTTTTTAATATTTTAAATTAGTTCCCCATTCATTTCTTCTTCAAGTAGCAGCATCCATGACACTAAAGCTTTATTAAATAAAACAAATGAAGGGTGTCGACGCCAAACTAAGAATGTGAACACGGAGTGTGACGACCAGAAAAGCAGGTTTTTCTTCACACCAGCAGTCGGCTTTTAATGACTTTTCCTGTGTAACTTGTCAGCTTTATTAAGAAACGCGCTCTATTAACTGAAGTAAAGTCTTTTCATTCTGGAAAATGAACGAATCAGAACGAAACTTACAAAGTCTGTAACTAATAAATAAACAGTTTGTGTCATCAGTGCCTCATCCTGTTGTTTTTTTAGCTTGTTCAAATCTTTGAGATGCCAACACCCATTTAATCCAGACAAAACATACACCTGTATCATCATCCAGTCTTTCTGACTTTGGTCTCACACCAGTTGGTACAGAAATACAAGATGATCTACTAGATCAATTTTCTCATTTTCATAAACAGTATTTTCACTCAGACACACACCTGCACACCTATGCTATTTTAGGACATGTTTTATTTTTTACAGCCCAACACAAACTCTGTATTTGACCCTTTAACCTAACCTTTTACACCTCAAATCTGACCAACTCTCTGGATCAAGTTTTAGTCCACCAAGGGACAACAGGGCCAGACAAAGTCAGTGTTTAATAAACCAGAAGAAGTTTTACAAGATGACAGTGACAGGCACATTGTAGACTCCTCCTTTACATCCTGTTCTGTCAGGTGTGTGGATGTTTGTCTTACAGTTTCTAAGAAAAAACTGCTGCTCTTTTACTTCCCCTTTATAAAACAAAACTACAGACTTTTCAAATTTCATCAGTCCTCTGCTGTCAGTAACAATGAAAAACATTAACTTAACTGTCAGTTTTCTAGATTTACCAAAACTCATAATAGTCAGCAAAACATAAGTTTAAAATCAGGACTGAAAAACGAGCCCAATTATTCAACAAATATACTTAATGTCAATAAACCATTATCTGTCATCTGAAAGATAGTCCACCAACTTGTTGGGTGTTAGCCTGATGTATAGAATATTTGCGGGACTCCCCTCATAAACCATTCCCAAAGACATGAACCACTACAAGGATCACAAAACAAAAGGAGGAGATGACGAGGGCTAGAGACAAAAAGCAGACATCCTTCAGCGTGGATGGAAGGAAATGAGCAACATGAGGTTAAACATACTGATTAATACAGCTTACGTGTCTTATCGGAGGTAATGGAGTGATGCTGAGTAAAGTATTCAAACCGACTGTACATGATGACACCACTTCAGACATTATGAGACATTACAGGCCAGCTTCTGCTATAAACATTTCAAACTGCACAGATGCCAACAAAAGTTGGGTCTAAAGTCAACTGGATTTTTTTTAGAAAAACTATCAAGACTTTTAAAATGAGTAACAATAAAAAAAAAACAATAAATTTAATAAGATTTACTCATTAAACATATATAAATTCCCAGTTTTCCCCAAAAAAATATAAATATACAAGGCAGGTTGGAATCCTGGTTCAGTAGATTACATTAAACCCACACAAACATTAAAAGGTCTATGATAAAGTTATAAATAAAAAAAAAGAATAAGTATTTATTTCAAATCAGCCGAGGATAAAAAGCCAGTGAAGTGTCTACGAAAGGCCCATAAACCAAAAATGTTCAACAAACACCCACTTACACCTACATACACAGTGGGCCAGTGCAATATCACAGAAACCACGCTTCTTATTAATCACCTAGAAGAACATCTTGCCATCCCTTCCTCATCCTGAAATAATTCTGTCAGCGTCCCCTCGGAAATAATCCCTCCACCCAGCTCCTGCACTACTCATTATCCTCTTACTCTCATTTTTATTATCCCCTCACATCGCCAATGTCTTTTCTTCTGAATCTGTCATTTGGGCTGTGATGCCTTTTTAACAACATTGCAAATCTCCACATATTTGCACTTGATGTTCAGAGCAAAACACAACAAGGTCAACACTGTTGTCATTCATAATATTATTTATCACTTGGAATGCAAAGCCGTGAGCCAAAACAAGAACAGGGAGCTGCTATTAATAAGCCTTATTCCCTAACGATTAATATACTGGTAGATTAATTTGTTACAGCAGGCTGAGGAATCATTACAACTGCTACAGACATGCAAAGATGCATGTACTTTATAGTTTTTTTAATATACATCTCAACTACATGACTACCTTTTCACTCAGTATTAAGGTTTTTTTTTTTTTGATGCAATAAAAAGACAAAAGGTAATTTCATGTGTTCATCTATTCAAGAGATATGATTAACTCCAAAATGCTCATGAGGTTTAAGAGTTGAAGTTAAGGTTTCCTTCAATGCCAGTGTAGATGAGGTCTCTAAATAACATCCTGCGAGTGGAAAATTTCTGTGAGGCTCATGGTTCAAAGAATTAAAACCCATTATAGATTCTGTGCCTTCCATTTTCTTATCCTCCTCATTTCCCCCTCTCCTTACCGTGACCGGAGTGCATGCCAGGCAGCATCTACATCTGCGTACAGGTTCTTCTCCGAGGGTTTCCCAGAACTGGCCCCGTAACCAGAGTAGTCGTAGGAAAAGACATTGCAGTTGATCCGTGAGCCTAGGCCAATGTAGAAGCTGCTCATCTGGCCCAAGTCCACTGCGTTCCCGTGAGAGAATAAAAGAGTGTAACGAGCATTAGGTGAACAGCGGACAAACATGCAGGCAATTCGGTTTCCTCTAGAGGTGCGTGTCATGAAACACTCGACGGCGTCCTTTTCACGTGCAGAATACTGCCAGTCGGCTCGCTCAGAGAGGTGCAGAGTCCATCTGCTGCCACTGTCGTCACACATGAGGCTGTAGGTGGGTTCTGGGGGCAGGAAGGCCAGCTTGGAGGCAATCTTGCTGGGGCACGGTGGACAGCAGAACAGGCAACATAGCTCACTGAAGGATAAGTGGTTCATCCTTAAGACACTGTAACAGGGAGAGGGACAGTGAGTAATACGTACAAGAACAGGTTGAAAATTAAAGGTTGCATTTGAACTGAACCAAGAGAGAAAACTGGTGTGGTCACAACCAGCAGTTTTCTCAGACTGGAACATTTCTTTATTCCCTATGACCAAAACCACCACAACAGTAAAGCCATTGAATAAAACCGCTGAGTATCTCTTACAATCGTACATTTCAACTGCATCATTAATTTAATTTTTTTTGTGATAACATTCAAGCCAAGTCCAGATTTATTGAAACATCTGGTTCAAAGTTCTGGAAAAACTAATTCTAGAGACCCAAAATTCCTTCGCTGCTAAGACTTGTGCAACTTGGCATTACGATTAGTTAAAAAAAAAACTGGAAACCAATCTCTCATCCGAAACGAAACCAAATCTTTTGCCATGTCATCTCTCGTTCTTTTAAGCTGGAAAGCTCTGGAGTGATGCCCAGATGTTCATTTCATTGTTGCCTCTACAAGTTTTGCCAGTCCAGCAGAAAAACATGTGACGAGTTCTGCCGACTGATCTTGTTGGAAAGCATGTCTTACTCCTGTAATGATGCACCTTAGAAATGCCTGCAGGCCTGTCACCATAGAGCTACACCATTAAAGAAAACAGAAAAGCTTCAAATCTGCTGCAGACCTCTCAGATAATACACTTTTAAAACCCTTTTTGCCGTAGTTTGGTTGTTTTATTATTTTATGTTCATGTGTCCTTTTTTATCCTGGAAACTAACAGATGTAGATAAATGTGCTTGCACCCTTTCAGAAAAGAAAAAGAAAACATGGTCATGGAAATAACCTAAAATTTTCACAACCGATAATAAAAAAACACCGAAACACTAATGAAAATCAGACATTGTTTTTGACTTATGGTTCAACAGACTAAAACCAAAACTCGACAAAAAGTATGGTACACCTAGAAAAGATTAAAAATACTTTGACCATCGGGACATGTTAAACTAAAGGTGTCTCATCAATCTTGTAATCAGACAGTCTGCCTATTTAAAAGGATGAAATGTAGTCACAGTGCTGTTTGGTATCATGGTGTGTGCGCCACACTGAACATGGGTCACTGGAAGCAAAGAACACAAGCTTAGAAAGACAAGCAGCTTGATGTCCCTTTGACTACAGCTGCAAATAATATTCAAAAGTGACAGGACTTGGAACATTTTATTCCTGGGAACCAGCTCAAGTCCAGAAGGGGCCGACTATTTTGACTCCATTGAGTTATTAATGAAGCAGCAGCAGCTCTAAGTAATTTAGACCCATCACCATTATTCAAAAGTCTATGGGACTCTAGCCAACCTCCCTGGACGTGGCCACAAGAGGAAAATCCATGATAAATTAAGGAGACTGAAAATATAAATGGCAACCAAAGAGCTCAGAACAAGTTCCAAATAAATCAGAGGTGAACTCCAAGGTCAACATCTGTCTCAGATTGCACAATCTGTTTGATGCCTAATGGAAAATACTAACGCCATGTTGAAATTGAAAGCAAATTAGAAACAAAACAGAATTAAATTCACCAAAATGCATATTAACATATTTAGTTGATGTTTTTCTTGGTTCATATCTTAGATGTTATTACTGTTTTTCTTATACATTTTATTGTTGGATGTAACTGGGACCCTGTGTACATAATTTCGCTCCACCACATGTACCACATGAATGACAATAAAGAATCTCTGACTATGAACAAGCCTCAAAGCTTATGGGATTATGTCCTTTGGACAGATGAGACAGAACTGGAACTTCGACAAGTCCCATCAGCTCCAGACTGACACAAAAATGAAACTAGTAAATAAAAGAAGAGAAACATTGAGGAGGCCTACTTATGTTGTGGGGCTAACAAGGTGTAATGTGTGCGAGAAGACTATGGAGGCATTCTGTAGTGAACTGTGCTGCCAAGGGTCAGAAAGTTGGTCTCGGTCACAGGTCAGGGTTCTCCAACAGGCGAATGATCCAAAACACAAATGACTCAACAAAACACTGGAGTATTATGAAGCGGCCTTCTGAGCCCTGATGTAAATCCTGTTGAACAGCTGTGGAAGACAAGAAACCCTTAAGATGGCTAGATCATGTTTCTCATGAGAAGTGGGCCAAAATACTTGTGGAGAGGTGCCAAAGTGTCCAAGCTACAGAAATCACTCGATCACCTCTGACAAATACGTTCAGGGTATCATTTTTCTTGTTTCATTGCTGGTTTTTTTGTTTTAACAAATTTGTTGAACCAAAATTTAAAAGCAATGACCGACTGTCAGTTTATTTCCAGTATTTTTTATTAGTTTAGCCAGTGTTTGGTTGTTTCAGTGACCACTGGATTTTCCCTCCTTTCTTTAATGTAAGGGCACAAATATACTGTCTTCATCTGAACATATATAATTTTCAACAATCCTATAAAAAAGGAGACATTATTGAAATAATTTAATCCTAAAAACAACCTTCAAATAATTGATCACTGCTTCCTGTTGGGCTCTTAATTGGACGCACGTGCTTTCGCCTCTGCTTAATTGCTTGATGAAGCAGGTCGACATGAACACCTGGCTGTGACAGTGATGATTAGGACTGTTTCAAGCTACTCGAGATTAGAAGTGTCCTCTCACAGGATGTATGATGCTATTTCAGCGTCTTGCTGAAGCAGCATCCTGAAGGAGTCTGTCGCAGCAACACTTGAAGCTGATGTTTCCCACAGTCCACGAAATAAAATAAATCAGCGGAATGTCTACGGGTTCAGTGAGATTACAATGATTTTAGGCGGTTCGTTTTCTGGATAAGCTGCTCAAAACTAGACAGAAATAAAGCCGGTGTTACCTGTACCGCGGCTGGCTGGTTTTCCCCTTTTCCTCGTTTTAAAAAAAAAAAAGGTGACAATGTCGCAGTCTGGAGTTCTTTTCGCACCAACTCAACTAATTTATTTTCTGTTCGACGCCAAGAAATTGTCGGGACTATCCTCGGCGGCAGATTTTCTCCTCGGTTCTGTGTCCTGTTGGTTATACCTCCGTCCGAACACAACAACAAGCTCTTCAGTCGTTTCCTCCTTTCTTCCCCGCGGACTTCTCAGCATATGGACCAGAATGATAACAGGAGCGATTTCATCACACGGTTCCGGTCTGTACAGCTCATCGGCGACATGAGTAATAATGTCCCCTCCAAGAAGTCTTCTTTTTTCCGCTGAACACAGGACGCTTTCGTTATGGATATTTTACCGAGGAGGAAGAGGCGTCGGCTGCCAGCTTTATGAACCAATTGTGGATTGTTTGGAGAACGTCGGGGTGGTTCTTCATCGAACGCCGCAGAGTTGACGCCTGATGTTTTTATTGACGTACGCTTCAGCCAATCAGGAAGTACTACTGATCAACCGGCCCAATCAGCGCTGTCAGAAGGCGTTTCTCTTAGTGAGTGACGTCATATCCAGTTATCTATGGAAGTAAGTACAAATTATGGCTAAAGCTTTTATTAAAATTCATAGTTCAAATAATAATAATAATAATAATGAAGAAGGAAAAATAGGAAGAGAGAATGCCATCATAAAAAAGTGTATGATGTGGAGAGAAGCTTCACTTATTAAACAGAAGGGAAAAAGGGCACCACAGGTAGAATATTTAAATAGATAAAAGAGTTTCTGTCCAAAAGACAAATGCAGATGAGAACAGAATAAAAACTATTCATGTAAATATTACATAGAAAACGGGACACCACAAGGAAGCATACTGAGTTATTTTTCTGTAATGATCAACGATATAGGTAGTAAGGCCAAGCGGCGTATGATGAGTTAAATGGGAGGCTGGACACTAAAGAGGGCTACAAGGACTTGTACTGATTGGTGAGACAGTAGGATCAGGCTGGAAAGGATGTGCAGCAGGTTAGGCTTGTTAAAGACAGGAATTGTAATGTTTTAACAAGTGAGAAGAGTGTGACAGGAAGATGGAAGGAGTACTTTGAGGAGCTATTGAATGAAGAGAATGAAAGAGAAAGAAAAGTAGTGGTCATAAAAACTGTGGACCAGTAAGTGGGAAAGATTAGTGAGGGTAAAGTCCAGAAAGCTCACAAAAAAATGAGGAAGGGGAAGGCAGTAGGACCTGATGACCAGTGGATGTATGGAAATGTTTCGGAGAGATGGCAGTGAGGTTTTTGACTCAAATATTCAATGGCATATTTGAGGGTGAAAAAATACCAAAGAAATGGAGAAGAAGTGTGCTGGTGCCCATTTTTAAAGACAATGGTGATGTACAGAGTTGTAGCAACTACAGGGGAATTGAGTTGATGAGTCACACAATGAAGATCTGGGAGAGTGTTGTGGAAACTATAGACTTAAACGAGAGGTGACTATTTGTGAGCAGCAGCATGGTTTCATGCCAAGAGAAAGCACCACAGATGCCATCTTTGTTTTGAGGATGCTAATGGAGAAGTACAAAGAGGTTCAGAAAGAACTCCTTTGTGTTTTTGTGGATCTAGAAAAAGCATATAACAGGGTGCCGAGAGAGGAGACGTGGTATTGCATGAGGAAATCTGGAGTGGCAGAGAAGTGTGTTAGACTGGTACAGGACATGTATGAGGACAGCAGGAAAGTGGTGAGGTGTTCTGTGTAGTGACAGATAACTTCAAGGTGGAGATGGGATTACATCAAGGTTTGGCTCTGAGCCCCTTCTTGTTTGCTCTGATGATGGACCGACTAACAGATGAGGTCAGGCAGGAATCCCCCTATTTGCAGATGACATTGTGATCTAGTGGTGAGAACAGGGAACAGGTGGAAGAGAACTTGAAGAGGTGGAGGTATGCACTTGAAAGAAGAGGAATGAATAAGTCGTAAGACAGAGTACATGTGTGTAACTGAGAGGGGGACAGCTGAAACAATGAGGCTACAAGGAGCAGAGGTCAAAGGTGCAGGACTTCAAGTACTTGTGGTCCACTGTCCATGGGGAATGTGGTAAAGAGGTAAAAAAAAAAAAAAGAGTCCAGGCAGGATGGAATGGATGGAGAAAAGTTTCAGGAGTGATTTGGGACAAAAGGGGGTCAGCAAATGTCAAAAGAAAAGTTTACAAGACAGTGGTGAGACCAGCTATGTTGTATGGCCTGGAGACAGTGGCATTGACAAAAAGACAGGAGAAAGAACTGGAAGTGGTGGAAATGAAGATGTTGAGGTTCTTCTTAGGAGTGACAAGGCTGGATAAGATTAGGAATGATATCATCAGAAGTACAGCCCAGGTTGAACAACTGGGAGATAAAGTTAGAGAGGCCAGACTGAGATGGTTTGGACATGTCAAGAGGAGGGACAGTGGGTATATTGGTAGAAGGATGTTAGAAATGCAGCTTCCAGGAAAAAGACAAAGAGGAGATATATGGAGGCAGTTAGAGAGGACATGGAGGTAGTTGGAGTGAGGACATAGGATGCAGAGGACAGAGTGAGATGGATGACTCGCTGTGGCGACCCCTGAAGAGGGAAAAGCTGAAAGAAGAAGAAGAATGATCAACGATTTGTTTAATGATATAGAAAGCGGGATGGAACGATCATTATTTGCTGATGATGGGGCTTTATGATAAGAGGGAAAAGTTTAAAGTTTATTATTAAAAAGTACAGAAAAACATTACGGATGTTAGAAAGTGGTCATATAAATGGGGATTTAAATTTTCAGAAGAAAATACCAAAATAGTATTTTTCACAATAATTATCTATCTATCTATATCTATATCTATATATATATATATATATATATAT